AAAAAAAAAAAAAAAAAAAAAAAAATGAAAATTTATCTCTTTCTATTCCCAAATCACCTCCTCACATTCTTCTAACGTAGTCATGTCACAGTTGAGGCTTAAATAAATTATTGTTGTTTATACCTTTATAACTTCATAAATGGCAGACAGCATAATTCAGACATGTAGCATATTTCTTTTCCTTATTGCTTTTACATTTTTCATTGAAATTAGTAAATAATTGTTCCCCCACCCCATTGGCTTATTTTCTTTATATCTACCATTAATTCATTCCCATACTCTGAGAGATGGCTGTATCTCTTCCCAGTATGTTTGAACACATTGATCTCACAGTTAAATATTTTCGGAGGGACAGCTGTGGTAAAACCTTCCTTTTGACAGTGGACTGGTTGCCCCCTGGGGTAACTAACTGTTCTTGCTCTGGAATCTATGATCCTAAGTATTCTTGTCTGTCATGATGACTCAGTTCTATGCCTCTCCCAGTCACCCCCCACCCTCCCTTTATATTTGCATTTTTATGAAGCTTATCCTGAAGCAGCTTTATGTAAGAAGGGTGTGTGAAAAAAAGCGCATGGGAAATAGATGGTTTAAAATCTTGCAAGGCCGAATTTGCCTCCTACCTTCACATATGATTGATAGATTACCTTTCTGATAGCTGAGCCTTTGTCTGTGACATATTTTACCCCATGGGAGCTTTTAGAATCCTCCCTTTACCCTGTTGTTCTGATGGACCTTGAGGTGGGTCCTCCTTTTTTATTCATTCAATCCAGAGACTTGTGCCTTACCATTCTAGAATGTTTTCTTTCATTACTTTGGTATTTTGTTCCCTTCTGTTGCTGTTTTGTCTGAAAATACTTTTGCTTAGATATTGACCAATTGGACTGAACCTCTTAATTTTCCTATTTTTCTCCTGTTTTCCACCTCTTTGTTTTTTTGGTTTAGTTTTTTTGTTGTTGTTTTGTTTTGTTTTGTTTGAGTTAGAGTCTCACTTTGTCGCCCAGGCTGGAGTACAGTGGCACGTTCTTGGCCACCACAGCCTCCACCTGCTGGGCCCAGGTGATCCTTCTGCCTCAGCCTTTCAAGTAGGTGGAACTACACTACCATACCTGGGTAATTTTTTTGATTTATTGTAGAGATGAGGTCTTGCCAAGTTGAGACCTGGTCTCGAACCCCTGGACTCAGGCAATTCTCTCTCCTCGGCCTCCTAAAGTACTGGGATTACAGGCGTGAGCCACCATACCCAGCTGAAATATTGTTAATAATAACCTAACACTGGTATTTTATATTTGAGGAAATAGCCGTTAATTAATTGGTCACAGTTTTTTCTCTTCTGCACATTATCCTTTTTAAAAAATTTATTTAAGAGTTAAGAGATACATGTAAGGATGTGCTACAGAAGTAAATTGCATGAAGGTGATGTTTAGGATTCAAGCTAGTCCTTCGTCACCCCTCCCCCACCCCCGCCTCCCCAGTGAACATGGTACCTGGGTGGTTGTGTGCCCCTTACTCCCCCTCCCTCCTTCCCTCCTTTAGTAATGCCCAGTGTTTGTTGTTCCTGCCTTTATCACATGCCCAGTGTTAAGTGTCCAATGTTGAGTGAGAACATGCTGTATTAAATTTTTTTTGTTTCTGCGATAGTTCACTTAGAATGATGGTGTCCAGCTGCATCTATGTTGCTGCAAATGACATGTTTTGTCCTTTATGGCTACTTAGTATTGCATTGTGTATGTCTTCTGTACATTATTCTTAATGTTCAAATTCAGTGTTCAGTGAAGTCCTTTACTGACTATTGAGTCTGTTCAGATAGGGCACAGAATATTTTTTCAAATGTGTACCCTCAAAGAAAAGAACAAATGATTTATTTAAAATATTAACCATTATGAATCATATTATATATATACATTATTTTTTATATTTTACATTTGAAGTTTGCTCTTAAGAATACATAAAATAAGCTGGGCTCGGTGGCTCAGCCTGTAATCCCGCGCCTTTGGGAGGCTGAGGTGAGTGGATTGCCTGAGCCCGCGGGTTCGAGACCCGCCTGGGCAGCGAGACCTTCTCTCTACAATAAATCAAAAAATCAGCTGGGCGTGATAGCGCATGCCTGTAATTCTGGCTACTTGGAAGGCTAAGGCGGAAGGATCGCCGGAGCCCAGCAGGTCAAGGCTGCAGTGGCCGGGAACGGCCACTGCACTCCAGTCTGGGCGACAGAGTGAGACTCCAACTCAAAAAAAAAAAAAAAAAGAATACATAAAATATATAGTGATAGAAGAAATTTTCAAAGTACTTTTAATCCCACTATATTTTATTAATATAATGCATTTTTTCTTACTATTTTGTAGGTAGATGTAAATATAAAACTATGGAAAAATGGATTCACAGTCAACGATGATTTCCGAAGTTATTCTGATGGTGCAAGTCAGCAGTTTCTGAACTCCATCAAAAAGGGGTAAGTAGTCTTTGTAATAAAAGAATATTTTAGGCATGTTTCATGTAAAAGAATTCATTTTAATGTTCACATACCCATACACATATATATTTTTTCTTTCATAAACTGACATTTTCAAAAGATGGCTTTTCTTATTTTCTCTTTTTTCTGTATTTTTGTAAATTTAAGGGGTACAAATACAATGTGTTGCATGGATATACTGCATAGTAGTAAAGTCTGGGCTTTTAGTGTATCCGAATAATGTACTTTGTACCCATTAAGTAATTTCTCCTCACCCACCCCCAATGAGATGGGTTTTCTTAGGAGAACCACAACTGTAATTTTGAGGAAAGTTTAGTAACTTGAATTCTGATCAACCCAAATGGTATTTAAAACTAATTCACTTTACCAAGTATTCCCTAATGCCATATCTTCTTTGTTATTTCATATTTGTTTAAATATCTTTAGAATCTTTAAAATTATAACATTTACTATATGTTTATGATTCTAAGTATTATAAATGCTGGTGTAGAAATTTTTTTAAAATATTGAAAAGAAGCCAGGCTCAGTGGCTCAGCCTGTAATCCCGCGCCTTGGGAGGCTGAGGTGAGTGGATTGCCTGAGCC